TCTCTTTCTCTTTCTCTCGTAGAGAAGGGAATTGTGCTGCTGATTCCCTAGCAGTCTCTGTTCGTCGGAAGGTGTGCCCGTTTGGGTGGGTGCTTACACCACCACTTTCTTTGGCTTCGGTTCTTTCCCGTGATGCTGCAAGATCTGGGTGCTTTTCCAATTTGTTTGATGGTGCTGACCAAGACCGTGAAGGAGTTGGCTGACTTTTTGTTTTGTCCTTTCTTTCTTTTTGTTTCTAGTCTTCGTTTTGCTTTTGCGTTCCTGTCTTTGTACTGGTTCTGGACTTTCCGCTTTTAATGAATATCTTCTCCGGTCAAAAAAAAAAAAAAAAGAGGCTACGGGGTGATGACATCATCGGGGATTGAATCCTTTGGGCTTATTAGAGGCGTTCCAAGGTGGTTTCCTTGCAAGTGGGGCCCATTAGTAGACCCTCTCGGCATCTCGCCGGACAACCCTTGTGGCCTTCAACGTCGAAGAAAACTTCCAACTTAAGGATCCTTCCCGCCGCAGATTCCATTAGCGCGTGTTCTGCTGGAGAGTGAGACCACTGCATTCATATGAGAGAAGGAGCATTCCATCGCATTATTATGATTCTATTTTGGTTCCCTCGGATTATCATTGATGCAATGGCCTGTGATGTGAAAAATTATATATGAAGAAGAAAAACCACTGCCACAGGATTTGATTTGATTTGAGCCGGAATTAAGGATTTAATCCGTCGAATTTATCCCCCATTCAAAAAAACTTTTAAATTGAGCCTCGTCCTGTTAAGAGAAAAACATTTAACTTTATTTTTTTAGCCTACATATTGTACATTTTTTACATCAATATTTATTATTCATTTATATTTTGTCATGTTCAGTACCATTAATACAGAATTTCTAGTTACTTTTCTTAGGCCAACCATGGCCTTTTAACATCTCCAGCTCTGCGAGCAGTGCAATGGCATGCTCACAGGCATACTGTGAGTTTTTCACTTGCTCCCATGACTATTCCAAGAGGCCGTTTGGTTGGCAGAAAACTGGGGAAGGGTAACGGAAAAAGGCCCTCTTTCCGTCATGAAAACACGTTTGATTGGCTTGTGTTCTCTTCTCTTAGTAACCCATTTTTCCTTGTGCCAAGGAAAAGCTCCTCCTTCTCGCGAGCATATATGGACCCATCTGTTAGAAATAATTAATTGTAATGAACATTAAGAGAAGGAAATAAAAAGAAAAGAGAATGAAAAATTTTCCACCACTAATATGTCCAGAATTCGTCGAAATGAAAGATAGCCTGACAAAAAATTTATGTTTGGTAGATTGGAAATAATAGTAAAATACGTGGGGAAAATATGGAAAATGCTTATATTGCCCTTGATGAGAAATTTTCAATCAAATTCAAATTTGAATCTAAGAATTAAAATATTTAAAAATTCAGTATTCATAGCAAATGAATTATAATAAATTAAATTTAAAATATATATAAATAAAAAGTTATTATATATGTTAAATCATAAAAAATAATCAATTAAGGACATAAACAAGGATAATATTTATATCAAGATTCTTATATCTATTATGTCAAGCTCTCTAATCATACAAGACCATATGTTCTATTTATGATTAAAAAAACTTAACATAATATATATAACTAACCTAACCTAATTTTTTTCTATATATAAAATTAATAAATATATGAGAGTTCAAAGGAAACACCAAATTCAAATGGGAGAATAGCAGAAAAATATCTCACGAATTTTAAAATAACAAATAGGTAATTTTAATAGGTTTTGACTTGTCAAAATTATTGTAAAAGTAGTCAAAACTATTACAAGAGTAGTTAGCCTGATCTGTTCGTTTTTTTAAAGTTCAATAAATATGTTTATGTCATTTTTCTAATTCGAATACGGAACTAAATAAATACTATAGTACATAAAATAGATGATATAGTAAAAATGCATCCAAAAATAAATAAATCCATCCTTTCGGTATATAGCTTAATGCATTCTGTCTTCAAAAATCAATCTCCTGGCAGTACATGCCTTTTACCCCCGGCCATCGGTACTACCTGCTCCTTATTGCTGCTGTCTCCGTGGCCCCAACGAATAACTGACCCATCTCAAAATACTGACGACAGAATGTTTGACAAAAATAAGAGGCTGGTGAGTGAGTGACAACCGAATTAATTAACAACGAAACTGTAACCTGAGCTCTAACTTGTTCAGATCAAAAGCACATCGGCTCCATCATTTCTTTCCCCTCCCCCGCCCGCCACACTGGGTCAATAGAGCATTGCAACCTCATTACCATAAAGCTCCGTGTCTAAGCCCGTCCAGAAATCAAACTCCAGTGGTGGCAGAGCTTGCTGCTCATCGATCTTCCGCCGTAAAATCTGTTCCTTTCCCTACGCCTTTGCCTTCGCTGGGTGGTTGAGCAGCAACCGAGTCCGATGAAGCCATTCTGGATGTGGACGAGGCTCCGCCTGGCGTAAGAGCGACTCAATGGTCTGTCCGTGATTCTTGTTTCCCAGCTCGCGTGTGAGCTGGAAGACGCGAGCAGCGCACAACTTCGGCAAACGGACACGACGGTCTCGCCCGACAACTCTGCAGTGACGACGGTCGTCCTCCTTGTTGCTACCTTTGCAACCCACTGGTACTTTGGTTACAGTGGATTCAGCAAGTCGGCTCGCTGGGGCAGAAGGGTCAGAGAGAACCCCGTCCAAACTGATTTCCTCTGAATTCATTGCTAACAACTTGAGATGGATTTTTTCTCTCGGAGGACCTTAAATTGTGATGGGTGTTCAAAACCAGCAAATGGGTCAATATATAATTAGCTCGCTTGTTATCACTGCTTTCGCTTTAAATTGCTTTCCAAGGAAAGAATGAGAGGCTGTATCATAATATTATCTAAGTTCCAATTCACTAGTGGCTTTTCCTTTTCCCTTTTTTTGGATCCCGTGACGCCTCTTCTGAGTAGGAAACCAGAGTATCCTAAGCATTAAGGCCAGGATTCAAATTCAGGTAAAAAAAAAAAAAAACAGAGAGAAAGGCCAGGACTCAAATGATGGTGCATCAGAGTGCACTTGATTAGGATGGCAGAAGATATATTACCTCTGGTCCTAATTATAAAATCTCGTTTGTAATTTATAAATAAAGTCTCATGATTAGGATCCAAAACAGTACTTTTTATTTTACTCATAATGATAATCAAAGGGGAGAAGGCGAAATATTGGCTGGTCAAAAAAAAAAAAAAGAAGGCAAAATATTGAATTAATCATTTGCTCTGATCATAATCTCCTGAATCAGCTTTCATGGTTTAAACCTTTCTGTGATTATTGTTATCGTGCATAGATGATTAGCTGCCCACTGTTTCCGTCTGCAAAAAATGAAAAAGATAGTTTGAATATTGGGTAGCCTGACCCAGTCAAATTTTAGTGTCATCTAAATGTCCTGTGCTTCCCGATATTGTATAATAAGCAATGGAATGAAAAATAGAAAAAAAAAAATTGTGAACAAAAAATTTAACTTGATTTTTAAATGGAATAAGGTGTTTAAATATCCTCAAAGAATCGACAAAGGAGCACTTAGCATCTAAATGATTTTTTTGGCTCTCATATATCATGAAAATTTATTTTTATAGCAAAAATACCTTAGCCATCTATCATTAAGTTTGACCGTTGAATTATACGATTTAACCAATATCTTTAATGATCAAGCTTAATGGCAGATAACAGTTCAGGACAGAAATACTATAAAATAAAATTTTCAGGGCATATAAAAGCTTAAAAAGAAAAAAACCGTGTGTTGGATATTTCTTCATGGATATTTTCAAAATATTCATAACCTGATCCCCTTTTAAATAAAAAGGTCAACATGATATTCCAGCCAGATCAAGACCAAGCCCTGTCCCAGTCCATCATATTAGAAATGTATGTGAATTCCTCCACAACAACGGGCCTATTCGGAATCATGTTTATAAGCACTTATAAATACATTTTATAAAAATCGAGAAAAAAATTTTCTCATATACTCACCTCGTATTTTATAAATTATAATTAAAAAATTGCTTATAGGTCATTCTAAAAAACAACTCCCCTAGTCATATTTATAAGGCAATGAGAGAAGACATTTTTTTTTTATTTATAGGACATTGAAAGAAATTTTTTATATAGATGTATAATTTTATTCTTTATTTATTATTGTGTTGACTTTGTTTACACAAGGTATAATGTATATTAAATAAGGATAAAGTTAAAAAGTTGTTGAATTTTAAATGAAAGTTAATGAAATTTAAGATTTTTCTTAATTTATATGAAACATGTTAGGAGTAACTTATGAATAAAACCGGAGGAATAACTTCTGTGAAAAGGCAATCAAAGATCAATGGAAGCTCTGCATGGAGAAGGATCGGAATTTGGTATTTCTGATTTTACTAGCCCATCTCAATATTGATATTGTTTTAGCATTCACCCCTTTACTGCTCTCAGGTGGCTGATGATGATAGGACGAACATTGCCCCGTTGCAAATGAATGCATTGGCTCCACACTTTCATCCAATAAAAAATGCTTATTTTAAAAGTATTTAAATCCCATTAAAATATGTCAAAAGGTTGATGAGTTTAATATAATTGCATGAAGCTTTCTAAATCACGTGAAAAAATATTAATGGAGTTATGTAGGATTCAAAATGAGACGCAGTTAGATAGTGTAATTCCCTCCAGTAAAAATATATTTTGATAGATTAGAAGAATTGAAGTTTATTTATAAGGGGAAACATGGCGAAATACGTGAAAAATACTTACCAGATAAATCTATCATTTATTATTAAGTTGTACACGTTTTGCTCGTATTGAAGATTCATCAATCCCGGTACCCCCGGCCCAGCGAGCCCGAACTCGCAAAAGCGATCAGGGCCCTTTCAAGTCTCAACGGTTCTCGAAAGAAATGGAAACTTCTGGAAGCTAGTTCGTCAACATATAGCTGAACCCTAAACTATTGCAACCTTCCTGTTGTAGAACTGCTAATACCCTTATCCTCAAGCTCCCCGAAGCACATAACTAGCGGGAAATGGCATTGGCAAACGCTATCTCCTCGGCCTCTCTCCTTCGCTCTCCCAAGCAGGTGCCTTACTTTATCTTCATTTCATTTCTCCTTGCTTATAGGGAAGTAATGAATTACTTATCTATATATTCGTATCTTCGCTTTTTCTCTTACACGTGATTTTATGGCAATTCGAGTGCTTTCGTTTTATTCCATGGTCTTGCGACCTGAACTCACTATATCCAGTCTAGTGATGGATAGCCTCAAGGACTTTGAGTCAATAAATTATTCGTCTTAGTTTTTGCCAGTTTGAGTATAATTTCTGAAAAGAAAACGCGGCTTTAACTTCTGTTACGAATATGATTTTTCACGCGGCCCTGATGAAGGTTTTCGAACCGTGCACGCGTGTGTGCAAATTTCCATTTGCAGTTCAAATTCTCCGTATCACTCTTTCTTTCAATCTTCTTCTAGAGCTCAATCATTTTGTGAAACTTTTGAATGCAGAGTTTCAGTAGGAGGGCCAACCAGCAGCAACCGAATGGGAGGGTAAATTACAGGCAATTCGGCAATCGGTTTGTGGTGCGAGCTGATGCTAAAGAGATTGCCTTTGACCAGAAGTCCCGTTCAGCTATGCAGGCTGGCATTGATAAGCTAGCAGATGCTGTGGGACTTACCCTTGGGCCCAGAGGTAAGATTTTGTTGTTTTAATTTATTTTTTTTAATTTAAAATTGTGAATAGAAATGTAATTAGGAATTAAGGATCCGTGGAAATAATTTTTTCTATTTAGTGAGAGTCATTATATGATGCATTTGTGTGCTGCTTTGACACTGACTTCCCTTCTTATGTAATGGAGGAATAATGTTTTTTCCTTACTGTAATCGTTATAGGGAGGAATGTTGTGTTAGATGAGTTTGGAAATCCAAGAGTAGTTAATGATGGAGTTACTATTGCTCGGGCTATAGAGCTAGCTGATGCCATGGAAAATGCTGGCGCAGCTCTGATTAGAGAGGTATGTTGTATCTGTTTCTTTTGAGCATCAAAACCCCCTCATTGCTTACAACCGAAGAGCAGAAGATTTCCTTCTGAGCTTACTGCAAAGTGCGCCTAGGTTTTCATTCTAATGTTGTGAAACCGTACAACGAAGGTTGCGAGTAAAACCAATGACTCTGCTGGGGATGGGACTACAACAGCGTCAGTCCTTGCTCGAGAAATAATCAAGCTGGGACTTCTTAGTGTGACCTCTGGTGCTAATCCTGTGTCACTCAAAAGAGGAATTGATAAAACAGTGCAGGGTTTGGTGGAGGAGCTAGAGAAAAAGGCCAGGGCTGTCAAAGGACGAGATGACATCAAAGGTATTATTCTGTCATCCATCAGTAGCTTTTGCCATTTTGTTTCCTGTGTTTTGATGTCTAAATTGTCATGTTAATATTTATATACTTTTGCAGCCGTTGCCTCTATTTCTGCTGGAAATGATGAGCTGATTGGAAAATGATTGCTGATGCAATTGATAAGGTTGGACCTGATGGTGTTTTGTCCATTGAATCATCATCCTCATTTGAGACAACGGTTGAAGTCGAAGAAGGAACAGAGGTATGCCTTCTTCACTGCCTGATCACATATACTGTGGAAAATCATATTTTTCAACTTTCAATCTAACCATATTTCCTTACATCTTGTTCTCTTCCTCATAACCTTCAGATTGATCGTGGGTACATCTCCCCGCAATTTGTCACAAACCCTGAGAAATCAACTGTTGAATTTGAGAATGCTAGAGTATTGATTACAGATCAGAAGATTTCAGCAATAAAAGATATAATTCCTCTATTAGAAAAAACCACTCAATTGAGAGCTCCCTTGCTTATTATTGCTGAAGATGTCACTGGTGAGGCTTTGGCTACTCTTGTTGTGAATAAATTGCGAGGCATCCTTAATGTTGCTGCCATCAAAGCTCCTGGGTTTGGTGAGCGGAGGAAGGCTCTGCTTCAGGACCTCGCTATTTTGACTGGTTTGTGAAATTTCTTCCTTCCTTTCTTTCTTTTAATTTAAGTGTTTGGTTGGTATAGAATATGCATCCTGAGTATGAATGCGATTTTTGGTGAAAATAAATGTATATGTTGAATGTAGCTTTCATCTGTTTTGAAGTTTAGATCATTTGTGTCCTACAAGGTTCTGCTTATATGATTTTGGAACACATGGGTCCTGTGACCACTTGAATAGGGATGTCTCGAGGCCATTGTTAGGATTACTTTCGTCCGTTGGGCATAGGTTTGGACAGCTAAATAAAAGAACTATACATTTAATTGGGATGGTTGCAAAGTCAACTTTAACATTGCGTGTTTGTTCTGTTAAATTTAATGATGAAATGGTACCACGCATGTGAATTTTTAAATGGATAAAATTACTTTCTCTAGGCTTGTACTGGAGGGTATGTTTGTCTCAACTGTCTTTTTAAAGTTGGTTGTTAAGTACCTCTTTAACTTTTTGCTATGGCTGATAAACTTGGAGTACCAATCAGGTGCTGAGTTCCAAGCCACTGACTTGGGCCTGCTTGTCGAGAACGCCTCAATTGAGCAACTTGGCTTAGCTCGGAAAGTGACCATCACCAAGGACTCTTGCACACTTATAGCTGATGCTGCGTCGAAAGATGAGTTGCAAGCAAGGGTTGCACAATTAAAAAAGGAGTTGGCAGAGACAGATTCAGTGTATGACTCTGAGAAACTGGCTGAGAGGATTGCTAAGTTATCTGGGGGAGTTGCAGTCATCAAGGTTGGTGCTGCTACAGAAACTGAACTTGAGGACCGTAAGCTTCGTATTGAGGATGCCAAGAATGCAACTTTTGCTGCCATTGAAGAAGGTATTGTTCCCGGTGGAGGCACTGCATTGGTTCATCTCTCTGCAGCTGTTCCAGCGATCAAGGACAAGCTGGAAGATGCGGATGAGAGGCTAGGAGCAGACATTGTGCAGAAGGTAAGAATGCTATTGCCAACTTATTTGTCCTCATTTTGATGGGAGTATGTTTTCATATTATGCTGCATTGATGGGAAAGGGAGTAATGCAGTAACGGTATTCCTCTGAAATGCAGGCACTGGTATCACCTGCAGCATTGATTGCTCAAAATGCGGGAATAGAAGGTGAAGTGGTTGTGGAGAAAATAAAGTCAGGTGAATGGGAGGTTGGTTACAATGCGATGACGGACAAATATGAGAATTTGGTGGAGGCTGGGGTAATAGACCCCGCTAAGGTGACGAGGTGCGCTTTGCAGAATGCTGCTTCAGTGGCTGGAATGGTGCTGACCACGCAGGCCATCGTGGTGGAGAAGCCCAAGCCCAAGGCACCCGCTGCCGCTCCCCCACAGGGTCTTACCATATAAGCTAGCTGGTCCCGTAGCAGACAACAGTTTTGTGTAGAGTATTGAAGGAGCACGAGTGTTGGCTTTTCTGATTTCGCCGCAAATTCTGACTGTTTTTGCTGCAATCGGATGCCATCTGAAGCCATAGTTCTTCTCAATCGTATCGTGAGATATATCCTTGTTGCGAGTGACAGGATAATTTGAATTTTATTTTTAAGGATCACGTTATTTTGATATTTAGATTATCTTGAAGAATAAAATCACGTTAACCACCACCAAATATTACACGAGAAACCTGCGTGGCATAACACGTTAGTGGCTTGATGTTCGCTTCAAGGATCCTCAGGCATCAGTCAGACGCAATAAACGCGAATGGGTAAGTAGTTTTTTAAATTATGAGAAATTTTATTTGGATTTATGGAAAATACTTCTGGTTTTTAGTATAAAATCTATTTAATTAATTTGATTAGATTAATAAAGTTATGTAAGTCAATTATAAGAAATATTATATTTTTTAAAAATATCATAATTATTTTTAATTTTTTTTTCTTTTACTTGATTATGGTTATATGGTTAGAAGAGGATTTATAAAAGTAATTTAAAAAAATAAGAAATATAAAAGTAAAATTAACTGAATACTTACGTTTATATTAAGGATTGAAGTATATTTATGAGAATGACTAGCGTGTGCCAGTAATAGGAGGAGGGGGTGGGGAACGGGACAAGGGGGAGTAACTGATGCAAAGCTGGGACTGGCGACCCTATGTGAAGGTGGGTCATTTGACTATAGGTCAACCAACCAGTCGCACTGACCCTAGCTCCCAACTCGGCCCGCCGAGAGCTGCGTTTTATGCAATAAGGATCCGTGGATTCAGATGTCTCCTGGCGATTTGGACTCCTCCAGGACGGATGAATAGAGATCGTCGGATCCTATGATGACATTTTAGATAAACTTTTTTCCAAGAATATATCTTAAATAAGTAAGAGCAGAACTTTGAATAAACATACAAGGACGCGGAAAAGCAAAGGAAGAATCATCTTAAGGACAATTTATTTATATATATATATAAGGATTTTAAAGTTATGAAATTATTTTGCAAAATCAAAGATCCTTCACCGAAGATTTCAAAAAATTGTGTAATGATTAAATTGTCTATAAAATAAATAATTTACCTCGTTTAGTCGTTACACATAAGAAATTTAGACTTTAGTACATGGAGAGAACCTTTGCCGTAAAAATTTTCCATGTGTGAGTATTAAGCGGGGTAAATTATGACCCACGGTTATGTTAGTTATTATATATTTTTCAATTTTCAAAAAATAATTTTGGCTTCCCACAACAACTTTAAAAATTTCAGTTCTTTATTTATGAATAACCTTATGTTGATTTTGATTATTAGGCATACTTCTGTGAAAAACACAACGTGACTGTATAAGTGCCCTTTGTCACAGATAAAAACTAACGATATGAGGCAGAGCATTCAATCACCTTCTGGTCAAAAGAGGGGGAAAAAAGGGTCGGAAGGCAGAGCATTCCATATTTCTTGCCGTTGACTTCGAAGAGTTGCTTTTTAAAGCATTCCAAAGTCCAAACCCCCCCTCCAAAGGAGAAAAAAAAAACAAAAAGACAAAACTTTGTGTCATGTTCCGAAACCTTGGCTCGAGAACCCCAAGGGACGATTCTTTCGAGAAAGAAAGCTAAGAAGAGTGCCGATATATGAGCCTCTACCACACACTGGTTCAGAAAACATTCAAACTTGTTTATCGTGGATTAAAAAAGTAAAAGGGTAAAAATTAAAAAGGACAAAATGGAGGGCGCGGTCTTTCAAGTTTCTACTGCTGAAACACATGAGAAGAAAGGAAGCCAAGGAAGAGGTGGAGCCTAGGGAGCTAGAGATTTTCTTTCCCCCCTTGAAAAGGAAAACTGGCAGACCTTTAATGATACATCATGGGTGTGAAATGTGAACAGTGAAAAACCGGTGTTTTTGAAAGCTAAAGGTCGGGTGTCGGAATCAAAAGAATAAATAAAGGCGGAGTCCCCACCCACAAACATACACCGTCGGAAAGAATGAGGTGTAAAATAACGGACTATATTTAATCCGATTGCCCCCCCTTCTTTTGCTCCGTTTAAAATGAAATAAGCATATACACGAAAACCAAATTAAAGGAGACGTTCCATTTTAATTTGATGGTTTAGGTTTGTTGGTGGGTGAAATCTACATCCGGACCCTATGAACGTGAATGCTGCAATATCGCATGTGTCAGTGTCACAATATGTGAGAGTGACAGAGGGAAAAGGCACTAAGGAGATGGTCCCTATCAAGTTGAAGAATTGTATTGTTGTTGGATATGATACTGGGTTCCCACATGCCTTTTGTCAGTGTGCTGCACCAAGCATGCCTTGTTCCTAACTTGCAGCTTCTCCGCTCTATGGCTGTGCTCTCTGCTACACAAAAAGCTTTTGTTGCTTCTAGATCCACATATCTCTCATTACACACACACACAGACATACATTGTTTTTGGAGTCAGTATATGTTCACTACTAACGATTATTCCTTTTTCTTTGTCATCTCGGAAAAGCGAGAGAAGCTAATGTTCTTGGCCGTCAAACGTTAACAAAGTATATATTCTTCTCCTTCTCCACTTCCCCTTTTCAAATAATATAATTAGGCACCATCTTTTAATTTCTTTGTGTTTTCCTCTTTTTGCTTTTATTAGTTTGTGTGTGTGTGTCATGATAATAATGCAAGATGGAGCTATTGAATTAATTGATCTACATATAACGGTGATGAGAATTAAAAAAGATCCAAGGTTACTAGTAATTAGGATCAGCACATAGATCTGCATTATATTGAGGATATTTGTGAAGTTCGTGAATAATGAAGGGTTATCATAAATGGAAACGGCATCCTCACTGTGATGAGCGCGTTGAGCTGCTTCAGTCAGCGCAGGCATTGACCTCTTTAAACACTTCATCGTTATGTCTTAATTAATCAACTGAAGATCACTCTGAGTTTTTTCGTTTACGTACAAAAGCCACAGAGTGCATGTTCGGGATGAGGTCTCGAATAAATTCTTTTCCCCCTTTTTGGCTTCTAGCTTTGCTAGATCTAAACACTTGGAAACTAAATTTTCAATACATTTGATTTAAGATTTATTCCAATAATGAATCGCATTACATTGATTTTACCTAAACTTTAATTTTCAAAGGAAAATTAATTGATATAAAAATTCATTTTCACGGATATTAATAGAAACAAGGCCCGAGCCTAGGATTCGACAGATATGGGCGGAATCGAAGAGGGAAGAAAACAAAATGAAAGAAGCTAAATACCTTAATACTCAAAGAATAGTGTGTATGGAATCAATGCTGCAGGCAGAATCAGTACTTATGAATTAACAATGGCAGCTTTTTTTTTTTTTTGGGATGTTTGGACAGTTTTAGACTTTTAGTCGTCAACGGCAATCCACCAACGTCCTTTGCTTTCCCATTTATACATTTACTAAGCCCCACGCCAAGGTGAGCCGTCCCCTCCGAATCAGTTCCCCCTAACACGCTTGTTGCCCAATCCTTTCTCATTTATTTATTTAATCTACCTACGCCTTCCTTCTTTTCCTTCATCCTTTGTTATATATATAAATATATATATGCGCTCTTTCATTATTCGAACCATTATATTCTTCTATGAGTAATCGCACGTTAATCTTTTTTTTCCCCCTAAAACAAAGAAATTTGCTTATTTTCTCATTTAATACTCTCAAGATGTTGTAATTTTGTCGATTCTGTCAGCAGTAAAGGATATAGGATTGGGAGTAATGGGGAAAGCCTGAACGGTGAGGAGCGTTTGTGTTGGGGCCTCATTCCATACATAGAGAAGTGAATAATAACGGAAGGGGCAAGGCAAAAGGGTTTGAAGGAGCTGGAAATGGATTGGGGAGTGACGTCTCATTCCTTGGGCCGATCGACGGGGGATGTGTGCGTGGAGGTAGGACCCACTCTCCACGTGTTGCAATTCCCCAGCGTTCATCAACACGTGCATCCCTCTCCTATCTCCACCTTTCCTTCCTTCCATTGCGCTCTTCAATCCTAAGCCCAAACTCGGTTCACAGAACAGAACTCGGGAGAGATTAACCGATCGCCCACTTGAGGCTACCTGCTTCAGCTGTCCATAATGGCAAACATGAAATGAAGCAAAAGTTCAAACATTTATTATACATCAAAGCTGGTTACCAATTATAACCACTGTTGACCAGAACCAAAATTAACGATCGCCAGTACTATCTCGCGTGGTAAAGTGGGGCAGGGTCTCGATAGCGGTTAAGATTTTATACGCTCGTATTGCATTTTTGGCAAATAAGATTATGATTGAATTAAAATCATAAATCAGTTGTTTATATCTTCGGCCCAAACAATTCAAAAAAAGGCAAATACGAGCATGGACAGGAGAGAAATCCGTCTCAGATTTAATCATAAAGGATGATGAATAAACAAGGCGAGCGCGAATCATAAAGGCTTGACGGGGTCCCACTTGTTGAGAGAAATTACGGAATCTACAACGCCTTGATCCCTTAAGCTTAGGCAGGGCCCACCGGCGGATTCTCCCGCTAAAAGAAGCGCGCCCCCGAGAGGGAAGATGAAAATCTTGCCGAACCCAAAGGCCAAATCAGTCATTTCGATTCCGGAGCGAGAAAGCGGCGGTGCAACATCCAAACCAGAGCGGCTCGACTCGTGGAGCTTTGTTCGCTTGGATGCGTGGAAACCAACCCTGAGTCGCTCAGATTTCAGAATCCACAATGGCCACCGCGCCCCCCCAATCTCTCCGCATTCTCCAGCCTCGCTTTTTCACCGCTTTCTGAGACCTTCTCTTTTCCCATTTCGTTCCTTCAGTCCTCTCCTCATTGTCCCAGCCTTCACATTGCCGTTAAGTCTCCTCGCTCTCGTTTCTTTTTCTTTTCTTCTCTGTCATTTGTCCCCGGTTTATCTATTATTAAACGCGTTTATTACGGGTCCACTTAGCGTAAATGTCGTTTTCCCTTGTCAGTCTCTGTCCTTCGCTTACTGTTCGTTTTGGTATTCCTATTATTCTCTGCATGAGCGCAATCCTTTTTCTGATTCATTCTGCCGTGTCAATGTGCAGGCATGGCTGAGGTGGGAAAAATACTGTTCATTGTGGTGGTGGACGATGTTGATAAGAAAGATAATGATAGGGAGTCGTTCAGGTATTCACGACCTGTTCTCCAGAGTACTCTGCAGCTCATGGGATGCAAAGCGCGACATGC